CACTGGACTTTAAAGGAAACACAACAGTGTGATGGGTGAGTGGTTTTGTTTGTTTGTTCGTTCACGGTGACTCTGGGCTTTGTTCAGTTGTGGCGTGTAGGGAGGGTGTGTCTGGGACCAACGGATTGTCGGCGTGTTCGCAGGTGACTCAGTTGTTCAATCGTGTCTAGAAGCGGCACATTGCGCTCGCTTTTTCGGTTCGTTCCTCCGTTCCGTTCCTCGTCGGCGTGGAGTGATGAGTGTGGCTGCGGGTGTTCGTCGCTGGGACGCCCGAGTGGATTCGTGTATGGGGCGTGCACTCATTTTTTGACGGGATTGGAGGCTTAAGCGCGCGTCCTATAGCCCGGAAAATACGGTAATAGTGTCTGTAATGTTTCTTTTAACTGACCACGATGACCAAGATGGCAAGTCACAAGCGAGTTGGTCCTAAAAAAAATATACTAGTACTTCTACAATTTGGCAGCATTTTGGCTTCAGGTGCACATTTGTTTACGTTTTACTGTAACAAAACTTGAAACCACATGGCTCATTTGCATAAACTATGATAAAAACAGCTCTTTCTTCGTGCGCTGATGCGGTTCAGGTTCTGTTGGACTAAAGGACACGACTCAGTGGAATATGAGTGTTTTTTCTGTTCTGCTGATGGCGAGTGTGTTCTGTTGGAGATGGTTCACGTTAAACTTTTCTGAGATTATAAGTCGTACACACAGACCATAGGGTGGTGCGGCTTCGAAGTTTACCAAAGTCGTACTAAAACATCTTGGTAATACTGTATACCCCTGTAACATCCTAAGGTCTAATGGTATCAAAATTTGGATACCGCCCAAACCTAATGTAGAGAAGTGGTAGCAGAGAGGACCAATCACAACCTTATTGTCTGCGTCAGGTTCGATGCGTAGTTAGAAAATTGTGGAGGTGCACGCCAATCTCGGGAGGGGGTTCACGGCGACGCATGATCATAAATTGGGCTTTAGTATTCACCTCATTTGTGTTTAACAGGATTTCAGGGACATCCTCCCACAGCATCATTTATTTTCATTTATTTTCAAACAAAACTTGTGATTTCAATGAATTAAATCTAAATTATAACCAGCTGTTTTTTCTTCATTGTTTGTCTCCAAAACCAAAATGAAAAAAACAGATAACGATTTTTTTTTTTTTTTTTTCAGTTTTCAATTTTGTGTTTAACTGAAAAATGGAAAAAATGGATGACGGCCGTTTCCTGTTTCTGAAACTTAAACTGCGATGCCGGACTTTTGTGCCGCAGGACTAAACCAGGACTAAACCAGGACTAAAACAGGACTAAACCAGGACTAAAACAGGTCTAAACCAGGACTAAACCAGGACTAAAACTAAACAGGACTAAACCAGGACTAAACCAGGACTAAACCAGGACTAAACAGGACTAAAACAGGTCTAAAACAGGACTAAACCAGGGACTAAAACAGGACTAAAAACAGGACTAAAACGGGACTAAAACGGGACTAAAACCAGGACTAAACCAGGACTAAACCAGGACTAAAACCAGGTCTAAAACAGGTCTAAAACAGGACTAAAACGGGACTAAAACAGGACTAAAACAGGACTAAAGCAGGACTAAATCAGGTCTAAACCAGGTCTAAACCAGGACTAAACCAGGACTAAAACAGGACTAAATCAGGTCTAAACCATGTCTAAACCAGGACTAAAGTAATACTGAGTGTCGGAACGGGCCTGGACCGGGACCAGACCAGGACTGAGACCGGTTTAGTCCTGTTTTCGCCCTGGGATTAGTCCTTGTTCAGTCCATATGTGGCACAAACGTCCGGCGTCGCAGTTTAAGTAAAAAAAAAAAAAACAGGAAACGTTCTCAGTTTCCCGTTTTTTCCATTTTTCATTTAAACACAAAATCGAAAACTGAAAAAACAAATCGTTATCCGTTTTTTATCCGTTATTCGTTTTCGTGTTTTTGGTTTTATACTGAAAAACAAAAGAAGGATACACAGATTCTTCCCCTTATTGTCTGCGTCGGTTCGATGCGTAGTTAGAAAATTTCGGAGGTGCACGGCAACCGACGCAGGGAGTTCACGGCGACGCACGGCTATAAATAGAGCTTAAGTATTCACCTCATTTGTGTTTAACAGGATTTCAGGGACATCCTCCCACAGCATCATTTATTTTCATTTATTTTCAAACAAAACTTGTGATTTCAATGAATTAAATCTAAATTATAACCAGCTGTTTTTTCTTCATTGTTTGTCTCCAAAACCAAAATGAAAAAAACAGATAACGATTTTTTTTTTTTTTTTTTCAGTTTTCAATTTTGCGTTTAACTGAAAAATGGAAAAAATGGATGACGGCCGTTTCCTGTTTCTGAAACTTAAACTGCGATGCCGGACTTTTGTGCCGCAGGACTAAACCAGGACTAAACCAGGACTAAACCAGGACTAAACCAGGACTAAAACAGGACTAAACCAGGACTAAAACCAGGACTAAACAGGACTAAACAGGACTAAAACCAGGACTAAACCAGGACTAAACCAGGTCTAAACCAGGTCTAAAACCAGGACTAAACCAGGACTAAACCAGGACTAAACAGGACTAAACCAGGACTAAAACAGGACTAAAACAGGACTCTAAAACAGGTCTAAACCAGGACTAAAACAGGACTAAACCAAGACTTAAAACAGGTCTAAACCAGGACTAAACAGGACTAAACCAGGACTAAAACAGGTCTAAACCAGGACTAAAAAGGACTAAAACCAGGACTAAACCAGGACTAAACCAGGACTAAAACAGGATTAAACCTAGGACTAAAACAGGACTAAAGGTCTAAACCAGGACTAAAAACAGGTCTAAAACAGGAAAGGACTAAACCAGGACTAAAACCAGACTAAAACTAAAAACAGGACTAAACCAGGACTAAACAGGACTAAACCAGGACTAAAACAGGACTAAAACAGGACTAAACCAGGACTAAAATAGGACTAAATCAGGTCTAAACCAGGACTAAAGTAATACTGAGTGTCGGAACGGGCCTGGAGGTGATCAGGACTGAGAAAGGGACCGAGACCGGAGCTTAAGTATTCACCTCATTTGTGTTTAACAGGATTTCAGTGACATCCTCCCACAGCCCACACCGAGCCAACAGGACCAAACTGGCCCCTGCTTCCATCTCAAACTATGACATCACGAATGAAACCCATTATCATTTATTTTCAAACAAAACTTGCGATTTCAATGAACTAAATCTAAATCACAACCAGCTCTCAACAGACACTATTAAAGCGTGATCCTGGGACTTTGGACGAGGATTTATCCGTACAAATAATAACAAAACAAAAAGGGAGGGGTTCACGAAAGCGCCGGGGGCAGGTTCACGCCAAACTCAAAGACTCAAAACAAGCCCACGTGACTCGAGAAGAACCAGAACCGCAGCGTAAGAACCGCACGCACACGCCACATCTGAATGTCTGGACTAATCCCTAGACTAAACCAGGACGAGAAGCAAACAACATCAAGTGTACATCGGGATTAAACTCGGGATCAAATCAGGACACACAGACCTTCGAAAAAATGTCTCTTTCTTGTGAAGTTTCGTGGATCCTGGTGGCAAAAAAATGATACAACAGCTCGACTAAAGTGACTGGTGTTTGTAGTTTCTGCTTAATTGAAATGTGAAATGTACAAAAGTGGTTCAGTCGTAATCGGTTTGTAAAGAAAAGCTTCTGCATTTCTATATTTTGTCTGATATAGAGTTTAAATCTATAACACAAGTGGATGGCGTTTTACGTTTTGGATTTAGGCTCTGTTCACACATACGTCACAAATCAGGAAGACGTTTGGAAACAGGCGATTAAAACTTCCGGACACTGACCTCGCCGACTGATTGTGATAAAAACCCACTGAAGTAAATGTGAAAAATTCTAAAAACAGTCACCTTCAGGGTTTAACTGGTACTTTTCAAACATTCTCAAACATGCATTTCGAAATACAACTTTGCGAATGTCAACGCGTTCATTTGTTTTTCAATCTAAAACCAAAAATAAGAAAACAAAGAACAACAGTTTTCTTCATTATTTGTCTCCAAAACCAAAATGAAAAAACACATAACGATTCGTTTGTTCAGTTTTCGATTTTGTGTTTAAATGAAGAATGGAAAAAACGGATAACGTTTATGTGACTTCCGTGACCGTGATGCCGAACTTCTGCATACGGACTGAACCAGGACTCATCCAAGTCTGGGACCAGAACGGGACTGAGACCGGGACTAGAGCGGGACTAGAGCGGGACTAGAGCGGGACTAGAGCGGGACTAGAGCGGGACTAGAGCGGACTCTGTGCTTTGACTCCGAACCTCCGCATCGTTCGAGTCTCAGCTTCGAGCTCCGGCCCTGCCGTGAGCTCTGAGCCTCCGGTCTGGTCCTGGTCTGGTCCCGGCCTGGTCTCAGTCTCAGTCCCGGTTTCAGTCCTGGTCTGGTCCTGGTCTGGTCCTGGCCTGGTCCTGGCCTGGTCCCGGTCCTGGTCCGGCCTGGTCTGGTCTCAGTCTCGGTTTCAGTCCCAGTCTGGTCTTGGTCTGGTCCCGGTCTGGTCCCGGCCTGGTCTCGGTCTCAGTCTCGGTTTCAGTCCCGGTCTGGTCTTGGTCTGGTCCCGGCCTGGTCTCAGTCTCAGTCCTGCTCTTGTCCCCGTCTGGTCCCGGTCTGATCTCAGTCCCGGTCTGGTCTCGATCTCAGTCCCGCTCTGGTCCTGCTCTGGTCCCAGACCTGGATCAGTCCTGGTTCAGTCCGTATGCGGTGCAAAAGTCCGGCATCGCGGTTTAAGTCGCATAAACGGGAAACGTTAACGGTCGTTAACACAAAATCGAAAACTGAAAAAATGAATCACTATCCATTTTTTCATTTTGGTTTTGGAGACAAATAATGAAGAAAACTGTTGTTTTTTCGTTTTCTGATTTTTGAAAAACAAATGAACGAATGATACACGGATTCAACATCCCGCAGCGTCGCACTCACCTCTGTCCTTTTACTTGTTCTGCTCCCGGAGGCGCAGGCACCTCCTCTTCAGCGCAGGCTCCATGTCCCCACCAGCAGGGGGGCGCTGCGGCCGCCGTCCTCAGGCTGCCCTTGTCCCTGAGCTTGGGCAGGAGCAGCGGGGTTGCCGTGGTGACCGTGGTAGGCCGTGGCGGTGGCGGTGGGCGTCGGCGTTATGGTCCCGCTGGATTTTGGCGTCGTCGGCAGGGCGTAGGCGTGATCCTCGTCCGGGACGTGGGGGTCTTCTCCGACGTCTCCGACATTCACGGCCGGCTCCTCGGCTTGGGGTTCGGGATTTTGGCATTTGTTTTCTTTGACTTCTTCCGGGGTAATGGGTAAGGGCGAGCTGGACCTACTCGGGGATTTGGCCGTACCGTTTGTGGCACTTTCGTTTAGTTTCAGCTGCGCGGTTTCGTAGAGCTGACTGGCGTGTGTCGGACTACAGTTGGGGTCTTTAAGGTGGTAGATTTTGTCCGGCGGCGGAGACTGCGAAACAGATCTGATAATATTCCCTGGTCTAACTCCGACTTCCCCGAGCGCCGACAAATCCACCACGCCGTTGGCACTTGGCTCTACCTTAACTTGGGTCCTGTGCAGCACCCTCTGAATTACGTGCCTTTCCGTAGACTGCTTATAATCTAGATTTTCCGAACCGGGAGACGAGACTTCGCTATTGGGCGTTGACGATGGCGACGGGAATGATCTTTCGGATTTCACCCAATCTTTGGCGTTGCCGTTCGGTGAGGGCGAATCCCGAGAACCGGCTAGTTTATCGCCTACCGGGCTGCTGTCTTCCTCCGGCGTCTGCGGTCTTGCGCTTCGGAATCTCGACCTGTCTAAACCTTCGGGAACCGGCTGGATCACGCCGCTGTGACTCGAAGACCGTTCCTGGTTTGACTTGAGCGGAATCGGGATCGGGATGGGAATAGGTACCGGAAGAGGAACTATAACCGGATAGGGAACGAGGACCATCGGTTGGGGCAGCAGCGGGCTAAAGGACGGTATTCCGTAATTCATCATGGGAGGCATCGGGACGGGCGCTACCGGCGGGACTGGACCTCGGGGGAGCATGTTGAGAGGCGGAGAATGCAGTCCCGGGAAGTACGCTCCGGGGAAGGGGTGCATGAGGCCCGGCGGGTTCATGGGCGCGGCGGGCGTGGGCGGCTGGAGGTGGGGCGAGTGCGGGGGTCGGTGGATGGGACTCGAGGGCGGACCCGGGTGTCTCGGGGGGCTGGTGAGCGGACTCTTCAGCCCCTGAGCGTGGAGGGGGGGTCGGATGAACGGCATGGGCATCGGGGGGGCGTGCGGGTGGTCCAACGCCGGGCGGGACGGGGGTGGGGGGGGTGCGGGGCGGGGACGGGGTGCGGGGACGCGGCGACGGCGGGCGGAGGAGCGGGAGGCTGCGGCGGGAGGGGTCTGTCCGAAGTTCGGGATCCGGACGGCTTCGGTTCCGGGGGGGATTCGCCGGTCGTGTTGATTTTCGGGGAGGATTTGCGATGTCGGGTCTCGCCGTTACTGCTGGTCCAAGATTCGGGAGTGAGGAGCTTTTGGGGGGTGCCGCTTTTGCCCTCTGAAGATTGTCCGTCCTGGGTCCCGCTGCTCCGGCCTGGACTGGACTCAGAGTTCGTACCTAGACACACAAAAAGATAAACTGTCATTGATTTTGTTCACTGCATCATGACCCAACAAAGTGGAAGAATAGTTTAGTGCTGGAAAGAAAAAATACAAACTTAGAGGAAATATACTGAACTTTCTACCATCTTATAATGTTGACACTGTTCTGATATAATCATTGTAAAATATAAAGCTGATTACTTTGCGGATTTCACCCATTACGAGTTATTTTTAGAACGCAACTCCCGCGATAAACGAGGGACCAGTGTATATCGAATATCGTTGCATCCCGAGTATGAACAGAGATTGCTAGATTACTCAGACATGCATGGATGGCCAGAAACCTCTTCAGGCATTCAGGTTTTTGTTTGTTATATCTGTTTTAAGGCGGTAAAACCCCTCAGCACAAACTTTACACACTTTTCTCAGACAGGACAGTTACAATCCATTTTACATCCTTCTTAAAACTTATTGCTGCTGTCGTCCTTTTGTTATTTTCCTTCTTTTTTATGTAACGAACCGCAGATTCATTTATTCCTATAGGACTACGGGCACCAGTCAATCAGCGAAGAGCCAGAGATCGAGGATTTAAAGCTGGAACAAAGAGAATGTTTGGTGAATTTTATCAAGGGGAAAGACATTATTGTTCTTCTTCCTACGGGATTTGGGAAAAGCTTAATACACCAGTTACACTGTTGAGCAAGTTACTTTAAAACTGTAATGTGTTATTTATGACTTGTTAGTGTCATTTAAAAGTAATTTGTTACATTACAATATTACTGCTTTTAAAATATAAAACATTACACGACTATTGCAGCACTTTAAGTTTCTCTCACCAAAATAACTGCGAAGATGCTGAACTTTTGCGCCGTATATGGACTGAAGCAGGACTAAACTACGTCTAAACCAGGACTAAACCAGAAGTGAACCAGGACTAAACCAGGACTAATCTCGGACTAGAACTTGGAACGCGATCGGGCGTCAGCTGCTCTTCGCCCCGTGGAGCGTGGAGTTCTGCAGTACTTCTCCGGCGTTTCATCGCTGCTGATATCGCCGTGATTTTAGCGAAATTGCATGAAGAAAAACCCACCACTTTAATCCAGGTTAAAAAAGCACTGTAACGCACATTGCTCACATTTGTACCGAGTAAAATATGACTATTTTTTCCCTGTAACGCCACATTACTGCATTACAGCAAAAAACAATGCATTACAGTAATTCATTACTTTTATAACGCGTTACTCCCAGCACTGACCAGTTAACCCCGTTAGTGGAGCATTACATACATCACCACCAAACAGCAGCGATTGGTTAAATTAAAAAAAAGTACCCACCTACTGTCAAGCGAACAAATCCTAATGCTGCGAGGTCACACGGTTTCCACGAAGTGAAACCAGCTGATGAATCAGGCTCGAGAACTTACTCATACACCAATTTTCTTTGCATTTGGACAAAGTGAGGGTTCAAACTGCAATTTTTTGGGGTGAATTGAGGTGGAATGACCCAGTAAAGAGAATTTCATTTAGAGTTCAGTACTTTTATAGCCCGTAGAATAAAACGAAGTAAGTACAGAAGTGTGTCAGACGTTGGCAGTGTTGGGAGTAACGCGTTATAAAAGTAACGAATTACAGTAATGCATTGCTTTTTGCTGTAACGCAGTAATGTTCGGCATTACAGGGGGAAAAATAGTAATATTTTACTCTGTACAAATGTGAGTAACGCGCGTTACAATGTTTTTTTAACCTGGATTGAAGTGGTGGGTTTTTCTTCATACAAATTCGCTAAAATCACCGCGATATCAGCAGCGGGGAAACACCGGAGACGTGGCCGAGTAGACCTTCAGGTAACCGCGGGGAAAGGACCGACACAGAACTCTACGCTGTTTAGACCTGGCTTAGACCTGGGTCAGTTCTGGTTTAGACCTGGTTTACAGTCGTCCGAAGTGCTGTATGTTTGCAAGTTTTCTCTCCGACAAAACCCACAACGTCGACGAAACGTTCTGCACTGACAAAGGCTCCTGCGCTCGCACCCAAAAGGCAGAGGAAGATGCAAACTATCACACAAAAAGTTGGACTTCTGGACACGCTGAAGGAAGGTGGAAGTTACGCGCTGTAGCAGAGTCTTACACCGGGTCTTGTACCCGCAAATAGTTGCTGAAATCAGGGCCGCGAGCCCGAGCAGCAGGGTCCATAAAGAGCGATCGGGCGACAGCCGCTCTTACCTCCATGAGGTGCGGAGCAGAGCCGCTCCTTTCTCCTGCGTCACCTTCAAGAGCCCGTCCTGACAGTGAGTCCTGTTTTAGTCCTAGTTCAGTTCTGGTTTAGTTCTGGTTTAGTTCTGGTTTAGTTCCTCTTTCAGTTGTCCTGGAATCAGTCCGAGGTTAGTCCTGTTATAGTCCTGGTTCAGTCCTGGTTCAGCTCTGGTTTAGTCCTGGTTTAGACCTGGTTTAGTCCTGGTTCAGTCCATATACGGCGCAAAAGTTCAGCATCTTCGCAGTTATTTTGGTGAGAGTAACTTAAAGTAATGCAATAGTAATGTAATGCCTTACATTTTAAATGCAGTAATATTGTAATGTAACGAATTACTTTGAAATGACAGTAATAAGTCATAAATAACGCATTACGTTTTTAAAGTAACTTGCCCAACAGTGGACGTTTGGTACCTGTGGAGAGAGCCGCCCGGGCCTCTCTGTAGAACACGTCCATCTTGTACTGGTTGAGGCACTTGGTGGAGCAGAACTGGAGGCGCTCCTCTCCCGAGCCGAAGTCCAGGTACTCTTTGGTGTAGCGCACGTGTTTGCACCAGTCACAGGCCTGAGACACAGGGGACAGAGACTGCGCCGGGTCACGGGTGGAAGTACAAACAACATACACCAACTAAATACAACACATGACACTTTATGCTTCTCTTTACTGTGGTCAAATTGGTCAAAAATATGGACATCTGAGACATTTTTGGTGTAAAACTGGGACAAATCAGTGTTTTTGGATAAATCTGCTGGGAAAAAAGGGACACAGGCTCAAAACTGGGACTGTCCCGGGTAAACACGGACAAACTGTTTCAAATAAACTAGTTCTGTTTTTCACATTTTTGAAACAGTGAAAATCAGGTACAGCTGAAGTGTGTCATTCGTTCATTTGTTTTTCAAAATAAAACCAAAAATAAGAAAACGGGGGGAAAAAACAGTTTTCTTCATTATTTGTCTCCAAAACCAAAATGAAAAAAAAAAAAAAAAAAAAAAAAACTGATAAAGATTTGTTATTTTTCAGTTTTCAATTTTGTGTTTAAATGAAAAAAAAAAAGAAAAACTTAAAAAAAAAAACTTAAAATGCGATGCCAGAGTTTTGCGCCGCCTATGGACTGAACCAGGACTGAACCAGGACTAAAACAGGACTAAACAAGGTCTAAAACAAGGTTTAAACCAGGACTTAATCAGGACTAAACCAGGTCTAAGCCAGGACTAAAACAGAACTGAACCAGGACTAAAACAGAACTGAACCAGGACTAAATCAGGTCTAAACCAGGACTAAACCAGGTCTAAACCAGGACTAAACCAGGACTGAACCAGGACTGAACCAGGACTAAAACAGAACTGAACGAGGACTAAACCAGGACTGAACCAGGACTAAACCTGGACTAAACCAGGACTGAACCAGGACTAAAACAGACCTGAACTAGGACTAAACCAGGACTAAATCAGGACTAAACCAGGTCTAAACCAGGACTAAACCAGGACTAGGCCAGGACTGAACCAGGACTGAACCAGGACTAAAACACAACTGAACTAGGACTAAACCAGGACTGAACCAGGACTAAACCTGGACTAAACCAGGACTAAAACAGGTCTAAACCAGGACTGGATCTGGTTTAGTCCTGGTTTAGTCCTGCGTTGAAACGGCCGTTATCTGTTTTGTTTTTGTTTTTTCCCATGATTCATTTAAACACAAAATCGATTTCATTTTGGTTTTGGAGACAAATAATAAAGAAAACGTTTTAATTTTTTGTTTGTTTTCTTATTATTGATTTTATTTCGAAAAACTAATGACACAGGGTTTTTTTTATCTGAGTGGGTAAAGCGGTCGACCCTCTGACCCTGAGGTTACAGGTTCAGTCCAAAAGTGTAGATTCACTTCTGTGTGTTTATAAACAGGGACAATCCAGTTCTACAACCTGATCGGAGTTTGGCCGCGCTCCCGTGTCTGTGAGAGCGTCAGTGTGTGTGTGTGTCTGTGTGTGTGTGTGTGTGTGTGTGTGTGTGTGTGTGTGTGTGTGTGTGTGTGTGTGTGTGTGTGTGTGTGTGTGTGTGTGCGGCTCCAGACTGAAACGTTAGCCTCGTGTTAAGATGAGACGGTGCGCGGCTGTGGGAGCGTCGGGCGCGGTGACGGTTCGGTTCTTACTCGTGCAGAGCCGGGGGTCTTCAGCACCAGTCTGGGCGAGTCCTCGGGGTGCGGCGGCTGCGGGGAACGTTCACTCTGGAGGTCCTCGTCCCGGGCCTGAACAACAACACCAGACACAAGAGACAAGACGGGGTCAGCCTTATCATCAGAAGAGCCTCTAGTCAGAAGAGCCTCTAGTCAGAAGGTCCTCTAGTCAGAAGGTCCTCTAGTCAGAAGGTCCTCTAGTCAGAAGGTCCTCTAGTCAGAAGAGTCCTCTAGTCAGAAGAGCCTCTAGTCAGAAGTCCTCTAGTCAGAAGGTCCTCTAGTCAGAAGGTCCTCTAGTCAGAAGGTCCTCTAGTCAGAAGGTCCTCTAGTCAGAAGGTCCTCTAGTCAGAAGGTCTCTAGTCAGAAGGTCCTCTAGTCAGAAGAGCCTCTAGTCAGAAGAGTCCTCTAGTCAGAAGTCCTAGTCAGAAGGTCTCTAGTCAGAAGAGCCTCTAGTCAGAAGACCCTCTAGTCAGAAGCCTCTAGTCAGAAGGTCAGTCAGAAGGTCCTCTAGTCAGAAGAGTCCTCTAGTCAGAAGGTCCTCTAGTCAGAAGGTCCTCTAGTCCTCTAAGAAGGTCCTCTAGTCAGAAGCCTCTAGTCAGAAGAGCCTCTAGTCAGAAGAGTCAGAAGAGCTCTAGTCAGAAGAGCCTCTAGTCAGAAGGTCCTCTAGTCAGAAGGTCAGAGAAGGTCCTCTAGTCAGAAGAGCCTCTAGTCAGAAGTCCTCTAGTCAGAAGGTCCTCTAGTCAGAAGAGCTCTAGTCAGAAGGTCCTCTAGAAGGTCCTCTAGTCAGAGGTCTAGAAGGCCTCAGAGCTCTAGTCAGAAGGTCCTCTAGTCAGAAGGTCCTCTAGAAGGCCCTCAGAAGAGCCTCTAGTCAGAAGGCCTCTCTAGTCAGAAGGTCCTCTAGTCAGAAGAGCCTCTAGTCAGAAGACCCTCTAGTCAGAAGGCCTCTAGTCAGAAGAGTCCTCTAGTCAGAAGAGCCTCTAGTCAGAAGGTCCTCTAGTCAGAAGAGCCTCTAGTCAGAAGGTCCTCTAGTCAGAAGGCCCTCTAGTCAGAAGGTCCTCTAGTCAGAAGAGCCTCTAGTCAGAAGGTCCTCTAGTCAGAAGGCCCTCTAATCAGAAGGTCCTCTAGTCAGAAGAGCCTCTAGTCAGAAGAGTCTCTAGACAGAAGACCCTCTAGTCAGAAGAGCCTCTAGTCAGAAGAGCCTCTAGTCAGAAGGTCCTCTAGTCAGAAGGCCCTCTAGTCAGAAGAGCCTCTAGTCAGAAGGCCCTCTAGTCAGAAGACCCTCTAGTCAGAAGGTCCTCTAGTCAGAAGGCCCTCTAGTCAGAAGACCCTCTAGTCAGAAGGTCCTCTAGTCAGAAGAGCCTCTAGTCAGAAGGCCTCTAGTCAGAAGGTCCTCTAGTCAGAAGAGCCTCTAGAAGGCCCTCTAGTCAGAAGGTCTCTAGTCCTCTAGTCAGAAGAGCCTCTAGTCAGAAGGTCCTCTAGTCAGAAGAGCCTCTAGTCAGAAGGTCCTCTAGTCAGAAGCCCTCTAGTCAGAAAGAGCCTCTAGTCAGAAGGTCCTCTAGTCAGAAGGCCCTCTAGTCAGAAGGTCCTCTAGTAATCAGAAGGTCCTAGTCAGAAGAGCCTCTAGTCAGAAGGCCCTCTAGTCAGAAGGTCTCTAGTCAGAAGCCCTCTAGTCAGAAGACCCTTAGTCAGAAGGCCCTCAGGTCAGAAGGCCCTTTCTAGTCAAAGGCCTCTAGATCTAGTCAGAAGGCCCCTCTAGTCAGAAGAGCCCTCTAGTCAGAAGAAGTCAAGTCAGAAGCAGAAGCCCTCTAGTCAGAAGGTCCTCTAGTCAAAGAGCTCTAGTCAGAAGCCCTTAGTCAGAAGACCCTCTAGTCAGAAGAGCCTCTAGTCAAAAAATCCATGTTCAGGTCGTGTTACAAATTGTTACAAATGAAACTGTATTTCAAGTTTTAAATGTTTTAAAAAGTAAATATTAAAAGTAATAAATATATTAAACCCTTAAAATACAGCAAAAATGTTTGAGGAAATAAAGATTTGGGTGGAAATGTCTGTCTTAAGTGGAACAGGGTTAATAATTGTCCAATTTTCAGGCAACAACTTGCAAAATGTTCAGTAATTCGAGCTCTACAACCTTCATTTCAATTTTATTTTAAATCTTTTTCTTTTAATACAGCATTGGTGGGTTTGTAAACCAACAAATTAAGTAATGTGGCCTTAGCTAATGCTGTTATGCATGATTATGTGTTTTCCTGTCAATATCTCTAAAAATGTTGATGTTGCAGCCATTTTTATTTAGTAAACATCCAAAAGTTTACTAATTCTTCCCTGATATCAAATATAGATTAAATTTTTCAAGAGAAATGTTGCTGACAAACCAATAGAAGAGGGAATGACTTTCTGACTAGTGGGTCTTCTGATTAAAGGGCCTTCTGATTAAAGGGTCTTCTGACTAGTGGGCCTTCTGATTAAAGGGTCTTCTGACTAGTGGGCCTTCTGACTAGTGGGCTTTCTGACTAAAGGACTTTCTGACTATAAGGGTGTAACCGAAAAGACAGCGTTAGCATTAGCATGTAGCATCCAACCAGAGCAAATAAAAACACACAAATGAGCCGAGTGTCAGAATAGTTCATGGATATGTTCAGACTGTGGTGTTTGTTTGTTTGTCCAGACACTGCGAGTTTTTATTTCAAAATGACCTTTTCATTCAGAAACACGATATGAACATGATTTACACACAGACAGTAAACAGAAGTGGAGCGAGTGTGTGTTAGCATTCTGTTGGATCCAAATGAATTTGGAAAACCATGTGCAAACTCAAAGAGCCAATGAGGAGCGAGGTAGTTGGTAAGTAAAGTACTCGCTCCTGAAGACAAAACGCAGGCGTCTAGTACAAGACAATCAATCAAACTGTTGTTTATGTTAGCAGCAGCGACCTCAAGGAGAGAAGGAACCAGACTGAGCTGTTATTAAAACTCATTTCTGATGTAAAGACAAAATGTGTGTAAAATCCCTACAAAATAACATTTTCAAAAAAGTTATCATTTACATCAACCCACATAAATACACCATCGAGCGCCGTCATAACCAAACCTCTGGGCAGCACCTTGATTCAAAACTGTTGCATTTATTTCATTACATTTGTAAGTATAACTCAAAAATACTTTGAAAAACTCTGTTTATCTCACTTTACACGCAAACAGGAAACCGTAGTTTTCCAGAATCTCCAGTCAAGCCGGAGTTTTTAGAAAGATTCATTTTCAGAGGCAAATTTGCCATTTGAGTTTAAAACATGGGTACAAACGAAGAGAAATGTCCATCCATCCATTTTCTTCCGCTTATCCGGGGCCGGGTCGCAGGGGCATCAGTCTAAGCAGGGACTCCCAGACTTCCTTCACCCCAGACACGTCCTCCAGCTCCTCCGGGGGGACTCCAAAGCGTTCGTTCCCAGGCCAGTCCAGAGACATAGTCCCTCCAGTGTGTCCTGGGTCTTCCCCGGGGCCTCCTCCGACACCTCCCGAGGGAGACGTCCAGGAGGCATCAGAACAGACGCCCGAGCCACTGCTGCTCCTCTCAACGTGGAGGAGCAGCGGCTCTACTCCGAGCTCCTCCCGTGTGACTGAGCTCCTCACCCTGTCTCTAAGGGACACAGACACCCTGCAGCTTGTATCCACGATCTCGTCCTTTCGGTCACTACCCAGAGTCATGACCGTATGAAAAATGACAAATGTCTCATGTACATGTAAACAAGGCCTAAAATCCACAGCAAAGGAAAAAATCAATTTGTCATTTGGACAAAAGTTTATTTAAGTCAAACACATTTCACAGCTAATGCAATCTGCTTCTTCTGTTCTGGTCAGAAAAAAACAAAACAAAACAGAATCACGTGGAAGTGGGTTGACATTTTAAGGTGACGATGAAAACCCTGAACAGCAGCAGTTCCAGAGCGAAGGACGAGTCAATTTATTTATATTTACACCAGGTCTAAACCAGGTCTAAACCAGGACTAAACCAGAACTAAACCAGGTCTAAACCAGGACTAAAACCAGGTCTAACCAAGGTCTAAACCATGTCAAAACCAGGTCTAAACCAGGTCTAACCCAAGGTCCAGTCTAACCAGGTCTAAACCAGGTCTAAACCAGGTCTAACCCAAGGTCTAAACCAGGTCTAACCATGATCAGAATCAGGACCTGGATTAAATGAAGTCAAAGCCAGATCTAAACTAGTCTAACCAAGATCTAATCCAGGTGTAATCCAGGTCTAACCCGAGGTCTAAACCAGGTCAAACCAGGTCTAAACCAGAACTAAACCAGGTCTAAACCAGGACTAAACCAGGTCTAACCCAAGGTCTAAACCATGTCAAAACCAGGTCTAAACCAGGTCTAACCAAGGTCTAAACCAGGTCTAAACCAGGTCTAAACCAGGTCTAAACCAGGACTAAACCAGGTCTAAACCAGGTCTAAACCAGGTCTAAACCAGGTCTAAAACCAGGTCTAAAACCAGGTCTAACCCAAGGTCTAAACCAGGTCTAAACGAGGTCTAAACCAGGTCTAAACCAGGACTAAAACCAGGTCTAAACCGAGGTCTAAACCAGGTCTAAACCAGGTCTAAACCAGGTCTAAACCAGGTCGAGGTCTAAACCAGGTCTAAACCAGGTCTAAACCAGGTCTAAACCAGGTCTAAACCAGGTCTACCAGGACTAAACCAGGTCTAAACCAGGTCTAAACCAGGTCTAAAACCAGGTCTAAACCAGGACTAAACCAGGTCTAAACCAGGACTAAACCAGGTCTAAACCAGGTCTAAACCAGGTCTAAACCAGGTCTAAACCAGGTCTACTAAAACCAGGACTAAACCAGGTAAACCAGGACTAAAACCAGGTCTAAACCAGGTCTAAACCAGGTCAAACTAAAACCAGGTCTAAGCCAGGTCTAAACCAGGTCTAAACCAGGTCTAAACCAGGTCTAAACAGGTCTAAACCAGGTCTAAACCAGGTCTAAACTAAACCAGGTCTAAACCAGGTCTAAACCAGGTCCTAAACCAGGACTAAACCAGGTAAACCAGGTCTAAACCGAGGTCTA